GGGCATCACACTACCGGACTTCAAACTATACTACAAGGCTACAGTAATCAAAACAGCATGGTACTGGTACCAAAACAGAGATATAGACCAATGGAACAGAACAGAGGTCTCGGAGGCAACACAACATATCTACAGCCATCTGATCTTTGACAAACCAGACAAAAACAAGCAATGGGGAAAGGATTCCCTGTTCAATAAATGGTGTTGGGAAAGCTGGCTAGCCATGTGCAGAAAGCAGAAACTGGACCCCTTCCTGACACCTTACACTAAAATTAACTCCAGATGGATTAAAGACTTAAACATAAGACCTAACACCATAAAAACCCTAGAAGAAAATCTAGGCAAAACCATTCAGGACATAGGTGTAGGCAAGGACTTCATGACCAAAACACCGAAAGCATTGACAACAAAAGCCAAAATAGACAAATGGAACCTAATCAAACTCCACAGCTTCTGCACAGCAAAAGAAACAATCATTAGAGTGAATCGGCAACCAACAGAATGGGAAAAAATTTTTGCAGTTTACCCATCTGACAAAGGGCTGATATCCAGAATTTACAAAGAACTAAAACAGATTTACAAGAAAAAAACTTAACAGGCCCATTCAAAAGTGGGCAAAGGATATGAACAGACACTTTACAAAAGAAGACATACATGAGGCCAACAAACATATGAAAAAATGCTCATCATCACTGGTCATCAGAGAAATGCAAATCAAAACAACATTGAGATACCATCTCACGCCAGTTAGAATGGCGATCATTAAAAAATCTGGAGACAACAGATGCTGGAGAGGATGTGGAGAAATAGGAACACTTTTACACTGTTGGTGGGAGTGTAAATTAGTTCAACCATTGTGGAAGACAGTGTGGCGATTCCTCAAGGACCTAGAAATAGAAATTCCATTTCACCCAGCAATCCCATTACTGGGTATATATCCAAAGGATTACAAATCGTTCTACTATAAGGACACATGCACATGAATGTTCATTGCAGCACTGTTTACAATAGCAAAGACCTGGAACCAACCCAAATGCCCATCGACGATAGACTGGATAGGGAAAATGTGGCACATATACACCATGGAATATTATGCAGCCATAAAAAACGATGAGTTTGGGTCCTTTGTAGGGATATGGATGAACCTGGAAACCATCATTCTCAGCAAACTGACAGAAGAGCAGAAGATCAAACAACACATGTTCTCACTCATAGGCGGGTGTTGAACAATGAGAACACATGGACACAGGGAGGGGAGCACTACACACTGGGGTCAGTTGGGGGGAAATAGAGGAGGGACGGTGGGGGGTGGGGAGCAGGGGAGAGATAGCAAGGGGATAAATGCCAGATGTAGGTGATGGGGAGGAAGGCAGCAAATCACACTGCCACGTGTGTACCTATGCAACAATTTTGCATGTTCTTCATATGTACCCCAAAACCTAAAATGCAATAAAATAAATGGGAAAAAAAAGAATAAAGTACTTAGGAATAAATTTAAAAAAATACATAAGCAAAAACTGAAAAAATTTAAAATAGACAAATTGACATTTGTAGCCAAATATTTAAAAACCCTTCTCTCAGTAATTGATAGAACCAGGAGAGAGAAAAACAGTAAGAATACAGAAGGCATGATCAATACTTTCAGTGGACCTAATTGACATTTATAGAACACTTCATCCAACAACAAGCAGAATAAACATATTTTCAAGCGCAAACAAAAATAAAATAAGGCATTATTATGGGTCTTAAAACATATCGCAATAAAGTTAATGGATTAAATAATACAAAGTATGATCTCTGAACACTATAAAGTTAAATTTGAAGTCCATAAATAACATTAGGAAAATCTTACCATATTTGGAAACCTTATAAACTCTTATAAATAACCCATTTAAGTGCCAATATTAGAAAAGAAGAAATGTCTTCTTAAATCAATGATCTAAGTTTTTACCTTAGAAATTAAAAAAGAAAACAAAATAAAACACAAAGTAAGTAGAAAAAGAAAACAATAAAGATGAAAGAGAAAGAAAAAGAGAATGAAATAGAAACAAAACCAATAAAGAAAATTAATGAAACCATAAGCTGGTTCTTTGAGATGATCAATAAAATTAATACATTTCTAGGAAATCCATCAAGAATAAAATGAGAGAAGACACAAATTACCAGTGTCAGTTATAAGAGAGCTGATATAACTCCGGGATCTACAGATATTAAAAGGATAGTAATAGAATATTATAATCAACTTTGTGTCAATAAATTTGACTATGTCGATGAAATAAAGTTCTTAAAAGACACAATCTACTGAAGCTCATTCAAAAATTAGATAACTCAAATAGCCTTATATTTATTAAACAAATTGAATTTGTAGTTGAAAACCTTACAAAAAATTCTTCAGGTCCAGTTGGCTTCACTGGTGCATTCTACACGTCAATTTAGAAAGAAATAATGTTCATTCTACTATTCCTGAAAACTGAAGAAAAGGGCAATACTTCTCAATTCATTCTGTGAGGCCAGCATTACTCTGATTCCAAAATCACAAAAAAGGGTAATAAAACCGCAATGCAATATTACTCATAAACATAGATGCAAACATTCTTAAAAAATGTTTGCAAACTGAATTCATCAATATATAAAAAGTATAATGCATCATGACCATTTGAGGCTTTTCCCAAGAATGATTACAAAATCAGTGACTCACCATTTAACAGATGGAGCATTGTTCATAGCAGCTAAGATATGATCAACCTAGGTGTCCATCAATGGATGATTGGATAAAGAAAATGTGTACACACACACACACACACACACACACACACACACACACACACACACAGGAACACTGCTCAACATGGTTGAACCTGAAGGACACCACAAGTGAAATTAGCCAGTCACAAAAAGATGAATACTGGATGGAATTTGTGGAATCTAAAAAAGCTGATTTCATAGAGCTAGAGAGTGGAATGGTGGTTACTAGCAGTTGGGTTGGTTGCAGTGGGAGGAAGTGGGTTGGGGAAATGCTGGTCAAAGCCTAAAAAGTTTCAACTAGATAGGATAAATAAGTTCAAGAGATCTATTGTATAACATGGTAACTATAGTTAATAGCAACGTATTATATACTTGAAAATTGTGAAGAAAGTACATTTTAAGTGTTCTCACCACAAATAATTACATACAATAATGTCCATGTTCATTAGCTGGATTTCATTATTCTACAATGTACATATACTTCAAAACATCACATTGTACACAATAAATACAATTTTAGCTATCAATTTAAAAAATAACAAAAAATTAAAAAATAAGAATAATCTATTCAATCGATGTGGAAAAAGCATCTAACAAAATACAACATGCATACCTGAAAAAAACTCAGCAAATTAGGGATAAAAAGTAACTTCTCCCCTGATAAAGGGCATCTATGGAAAAATCTACAGTTAATATTATATTCAGTGGTGAAGGACTAACTACTTTTACCCCAAGATCAGGAAAAAGGCAAGAATATTCATTCTTGCAACCTGTTCTGTATTCAACACCAGAGGTTGCATTGGTGATTCTAGCCAGTGCAACCAAGGAGAAAGAAGTCAAAAGGAAACATATAGGAAAAGAAAGGGCAAAATCCTTTCTTCACAGATGACATGATCATCTGTGCAGAAAATCCTTTGGAATTAACAAAAAAAGGTACTCTGACAAATGAGTTTAGCAAGGTTGCAGGAGAAAAAATCAATATACAAAAATCAATTAGACTTATACTGGCAAAAAAACAGAATTTCAGCTAAAAATTATCATTTATAATCACATAAGAATGTGATACACTAGCAGATAATTTGACAAAGGATGTGCAAAACTTGTACACTGAAAACTACAAAATACTTCTGAGAGAAATTAAGGAAGACTTAAATAAGTGGAGAGTTATACTGTGCTGATTAGAAGATTTAATATTGGAAAGATACCAGTTCTCCCATTACTGATATATAGTTTCAATGCATCCCAATCAAAACCCAACCAAGAGTTTTGGTAGAAATTGACAAGCTCATTCTAAAACTTGTATGGAAAAGCAAACAAATTATAATTACTTAAACAAGCCTGAATAAGAACAAAGTCAATATAAGTTATACTGCCTGATTTCAGGACTTTATAGAAATCTACAGTAATCAAGAAGTATGGCACTGGCCTAAAGACAGAGTAATATCAATGACACACAATAAAGGGTCCAGAAATAGACCTATTTATTAGTCAACTGATTTTTCAAGGAGTGTCAAAGGAATTCAATGGGGGGGAAATAATCTCTTCAACAAATGGTGCTAGAATAACTAGATGGGACAAGGAGGAGTGGAGGGAAGGATTATAAAGGGTCATGAGGAAACATCATGTGTGGGTGATGGGTATGTTCACTATTAGTCATGGTGATAGTTTTACAGGTGCTTATATATGTGAAACACTCATCAAATTTTAATGTTTAAATGTGTGCTGTTTCTTTTATTTCAGTTATACCTCAGTAAAACTTTGAAAAAAGAAATTCAGAGAACAATTTTAAACTCCACTAAGGAAAAACAACCCAAACTATATTTTTTCTACTTACAGCAAATGCAAGGGTGTATTATGGTTGGGTGGAACAAAGACACATCCATTTTTAATCAATAAGAGAGTTCACCAAACTGTTAACACCTCAAAGAATCATTCCAAAGCTGCCCACTCCTGATTTGCAGAGGTAATTATGAACTCTGGAAGTTAGTGTACTCTTGTAGTGAGTATCTAACAATACCACCATATTTTCTGAGTGAGTGCTGTAAACACTTATCTTTAATGAAATACTAGCTTGTTTATATTCATTTTTATATTTTCTTCAGATGATCTGGGGCAGAGGATATTAACAAATGAATATTTAGTGAGCCAAAAACAAACTCACATGAAAAATTAAGGATGAAATTCATGAAAAGCACAGAGATAAAAACTATTTTATTGGGCTTGAGGAAACTTGCAGGTAAGGAAAATTGCCTTACCTGTTTTTGTCAGAGGGTGGTTGACTAGTTGCCGAATTACACTGTTGTCAGATGACCTCAAAAGTAGCACAATATCAGTTGGAAGAGTGTCTCTGTTTTTAGCTAAGAATCCACTTGCATTATAGAGGACCTGTTGACAAAGTATGCTATCATAATCATCACAACTGTTATCCTCCTCCTCCTCACCATCATCATCACCATCATCATCATCATCATCAATAGATACTCATTATAAGCTTACTGTATGTAGAACAACAGGGATACAAGCATTTACAAAGGTAGTCCCTTATCAGCTGTGTCTCACTGATTTTATGTGGGTTGAAATGACCAAAGGGGTTTGATTCCTCTCATTTATTATGTTGGGAATTTGGTGTGTTTCTTTTCTCTATTTGGAGGGATGGAGCAGCATAAAGGAAGCATACTAAGCCACAAAGTCATTTCTGTTTCTATGATAATTGATTCACCTGTATTGAATTGGCCATGATAGATTTTTTTTTTTGAGACAGAGTCTGGAGTGCAGTGGCACAATCTCGGTTCACTGCAACCTCCGCCTCCTAGGTTCAAGCGATTCTTCGGCCTTAGCCTCCCAAGTAGCTGGGACCACAGGCTCATGCCACCACGTCTGGCTAATATTTTTGTATTTTTAGTAGAGATGGGGTCTCACCGTGTTGGCCAGTATGGTCACGATCTCTTGACCTCGTGGTCCGCCCGCTTCAGCCTCCCAAAGTTTGGGGATTACAGGCGTGAGCCACCATGCCCTGCCTGAATTGGCCACGATGAATTTTTATCTCAGCAGTAGCGTGATCTAAATACATTGTGGCTTTTTGTGTTTCTGGGACTTCTAAATAATGTTATTACTTAAAAAATAATTTTTAGAGATCAGATCTTGCTATGTAACCCAGGCTGGTCTTGAACTCCTAAGCTCCAGTGATCCTCCCACCTCGGCCTCCCAAAGTGCTAGGGTTACAGGCCTGAGCCACCATGCTTGGCAAATTTTATGACTTTTTAAAGATCAGTGTAATCCAAAGATTTTTGTGGAATGGGTCAGTATAGTATTCATTATGGGTCAAATTGTGTTCTTTCAAATTCAGATGTTGAAGATGTAAACTTTCACTGTGACTATATTTGGAGACAGGGCCTTTAGGGAGGTAATTAATGCTAAATAAGGTATCAGAGTAGGACCCTACTACAATAAGACTTGTGTTCCTATAAGAGCAGGAAGAGGAACTAGGGATATCTCTCCCCATTCCCTATGTTCACATAGCAAAGGCCATGTGAGGACACCTTGAGAAGACAGCCATCTTCAAGCCAGGAAGAAAGGCCTCCCATATGCTAACCCTGCTGAGAGCACCTTGAACTGTCAGCCTCCAAAGCTGTAAAAAATAAATTTCTGTTGTTTAAGCCATGCAGCTTGTGATATTTTTGCTATGGCAGCCTGATTACACTAACAGATTGTTAAAATCTAATTGTTAAAAACAACTAGACAAAATGATCATGGGCAATTCTTTTTTTTTTTTTTTTTTTTTTGAGACTAAGTCTTTCTCTGTTGCCCAGGCTGGAGTTCAGTGGCGCGATCTCAGCTCACTGCAACCTCTGCCACCAGGATTCAAGCAATTCTCCAGTCTCAGCCTCCCAAGTAGCTGGGACTACAGGTGCATGCAATTCTTAATGGGTGCTTAAAATAGGCTTTAATTGGAAAATGACATGCTAAGAATCATTAGGCTATAACTGTAATGATTTAGGGTAAACTTTTAAAATGATGGAAGTCAGTGGAATGTTGACAGACATATGGAGGTTGCCAAGCACTCTAAAATGCTTAAAGTTCTATGTAATCTTATTTTTATGTATTTCTCATTTGGATTTGAATATCCTTTTTGTCCTCCCATATTTATGACATCATTGTGACTGTCATTCTCTGCAGAAGGAAGGAAAGGAAGCATCCTCTGGGTCTAGGACAACATATCTGAGGTTCACTCTGGTGTGGGAATGTGTTTCTGTCAATGTAGAGACATTTCTTTAACTACATCATAATCCATCCATGTGGCTTAGCTCAGTTATCTGACTATACCACCAGCCTGGCACCTTCTCTTCTTGAACGGGAGGAGGAACAAAGAGTGCAGTAGAGTGAATCATCTAAAGTCTGAAAAAGGCAAAGGTCCTCAGGCATTGTTAAAAGAAGGAAAAAATAGGTAACCATTGCCAACTGATCTCACCCAAGGATTCTTTCAGTCTTGTGTCTTTTCTTTCTTGTTTTTTTTTTTTTTTAAGTTACTTAAAAATAATTCCTCTAGAAAAACTATAACTTTATGATTGTTAAACTAAGAGAAAGACTTTTCTTTTAGCCTCTTTTGCATAGAGGCTAGAAGTGTGTGTCCTGGCGTGGGTGTGGCCTCCATAGTGAGTGGCTGGCAAAGGACAGGATGGGTTACAGGACATCAGAGGGCAGAATTAGGGCCAGTGGGGGCAGAAACTGACAGTTTTGACATTATCATAATCTATAAATATTTTGGGCTGTCATTTTGATGTCCATCCTATTATTCATTAAAAGGCTAAGGAGAAACCTAGTCGTAATTCTTGAGAGTTCTTACCTTTCCTGCATAATGGTGAATTCCAAAACTAAGTTCCATTCTTTTGGGTCTCCAGAAGTATTGTGATTTCAGGTTACCTTCAAATTTTTCTGTAGAAAAATACTGAACTCAAATATCAAGCACATATGAGATCCTCAAAAATATTGTAAGAATCATTTACCATAAAAAGGACAAGGTGCAGTGAACAAAGACAGAAAATTTTACATAGCTAATATATGCAGATTTGGAATAGAACTAAATATGGGAAAGTAAAACTCAAGATTGTTAATTTCTACCATTACCTTATGATTTAGGGCATCAGTCCTCAAGCCATGGCATACAACAGAGTCACCTCAAGGGTTTTTTTGTTTTTGTTTTTGTTTGAGATGGAGTTTCGCTCTTGTTGCCCAGGCTAGTGCAGTGGCATGATCTTGGCTTACTGTAACCTCTGCCTCCTAGATTCAAGCAATTCTCCTGTCTTAGCCTCCTGAGCAGCTGGGGACCTGACATCACACCCAGCTAATTTTTTTTCTATTTTTTAAGTAGAGATGAAGTTTTGCCATGTTGGCCAGGCTGATCTCAAACTCCTGACCTCAGGTGATCCCCCTGCCTTGGCCTCCCCAAGTGCTGGGATTACAGGTCTGGGCCACTGCACCCGGCTGAAGGCTTGTTATAACACAGGTTGCTGGGCTCTAACACCAAAATTTCTGACTCAGTAATTTTGGTATGGGAGCCAAGAATTTGCATTTCTAACAAGTTCTCAGGTGATGCTGATGTTCCTGGTGGGGGACCACATTTTGAGAACCACTAGTACAGAGGAAGGGAACTACTTGAGACTGACCGAAGAGGTTTGTACAGCACAGTTTGATGCTAAGCCATGAGCCTAAAAATCTGTTGTTTTCGCTCTTCTTTCTACTTGCAGAGCTATAAATTATTACTGATTACATGAGAATACAATATTATCTTAAAGGCAGCTGAATTTCTATAACAATTATACTACCTTCAAAGAACTTGTTCTAGAAGGATCATTTGATAAAGTGACTGCTATGAAATGATTTTCCCCACCACTTTGGGGTCAATTTCTTTTCCAGCTAGTGTTGTTCCATTAGAGGAGAAATTAAGCCAATCAGTGGGTCAGAAGGAAGGAACATCACAGGCCTAATGGTAAGAAACAGGCTCTGCATGTCACAAAAGTAAATGACAGAAAGATGTGAATCCACATTTTCTGCAAGTATTTTTTATACAGAAAAAATATCTCCTATCATCAGGGAATATGATACTCCACATTTAAAAACAATTTTTTCAGATATCTGAAAAATCTAAAGTTTTTTCCTTTTTTCATTTAAGGAGTAAAACATTTTCATTTTAACCAGTGTGGATGGTGATTTTAAAAAATGCATTATACACATCTTTGCCTTCTCAAACACAAAAAATGGAAACATTTAATCTTACTTTAATGACTTAGGATTATTATCATGAACACTTATTAATGTGCTGTAGAGGTTATTAAGGTATTTGAAGCGATTTGCCTCTATTAAATAAATGAATAGAACAGGCCATCAGAGATTAATTTATTTTCTACCTGTTAACTACCTCTTTTCAATTCCAGAGCTGTCCTTCTGCCTTGCTCACCAATTTCTAATTTTGGGCTGGAAAATTTCTAGGGTCATTTATAACCTGTAATTCTATGGTTGGGCTTCACCATAAAATAAGGAGAAGTCCAATATTTAAGCTTGCTTATCACTAAATATTTTACCCTATCATAAACATGCACTGATCCAGGTATAAAATCCAAAGGCTGTTCTTGAAAGTCAAATATGCAGGCTTTGTGACAGCAATTTTCTCCCAGATTATTTAAAGCCACTTAAAAAATCATTCAGAATGACATGACTGTATTCATAAAACCATGCAGACACACTGGGCTGAAAACTCACCTACAAGAGTCTGGTCAGTGGCCTTGGGAAATCTACTTTCTTCATCAAGTAGGGAAAGTAAACCCATTGGCTTTTGCAGAAACATATCTAAAAGGGGCCGGTTATCTTCGTATTCAATAACTCTAGCATCCACATCTTCATTTAGGTATTCATTCTAAAATAGGTCATGATACAGACAAAACCACTTACAACTGTGAATAATATATAGCTTGTTAGTAATTACCTAAAATTTTACTTTACACATATTAAAATAAACTACTCCCTTTGCTGTTGACCTTGCTTTTTTTTTTTTTTTTTTGGATGGAATCTCACTCTGTTACCCAGGCTAGAGTGCAATGGCGCAATCTCGGTTCACTGCAACCTCTGCCTCCCAGGTCCAAGCAATTCTCCTGCCTCAGCTTCCCGAGTAGCTAGGATTACAGGTGCCCACCACCACGCTCAGCTAATTTTTATATTTTTAGTAGAGATGGGGTTTCACCATGTTGGCCAGGCTGGTCTTGAACTCCTGACCTCAAGTGATCTGCCTGCCTTGGCCTCCCAAAGATTACAGGCATGAACCACTGCGTCCAGCCTGAACTTGTTCTTAAACTGACAGTACCATTTTATCTTTCTCTCCACAAAGCTGCTTGTTCCTTAAAGTCAGAACTGGTTATGCTCAGGGTAGTAATAAAAGGACCCCTAGTCTCCACACTAAATTATGGGCATCTTAAGTTTTCAAGATGTAGGAAAACATGTTGTTAATGAGAAGTAACAAAATTATGTTCCAGACTTTACAGAATATTTAACTAGATATATCTTAAAGTTATACTTCCCCAGCTGAATCTCTCAAGCACATTTATATAACTTTTCAGTCATAATTCCAGACATTTCCATAGTTACTAGACAGCAGAGGGTTATAGAAACAGCCAGTGGATTCAGAACTAAGGACACATAGGTTCATTTCTGGGCTCTGCCACTTAACTAGCCACATAATCCTTTGGAATTTCCACACTCTATAAAAGTCCATTTCTAATCTATTAAGTGGGGCAACAAACCCCATTTCACAAAGTAAAAATATATGGTATATTAACAATGATTTACTATTGAGTATAGTGTAATATAAGAAGTATACAATAGAAGAAATGAAGTACAGATAATTACTGTAGGGTTGAGGTACGAGCACAGCATATGTACCTATGATCTACTTAACAAGAGGGGCATGAAGGCTTGTGCCCAGTTTGCTTCTATGACTCTGCCTTCACACTGTCCCCAGCCCAGTCCTGAAGTCTGTCAAAGAGAATACACACGTGGCCTCTGCACTATGACATGCAGCCACGCTTGCATGTGGGGGAGTCACTGCTTCTCAGGTGATAAGCATCCATTCCTGGGTAAGTGTATGAAACAATCGCTGACTCAGGTGGAACACTCTGTGCCATTCCCATGTTTAAATTACAGGCCATTTTCATTGTTATTTTAATATATTCTTTAATTCATTAAATATATTCATTGAATACCTAAGGCACTGAGTGACAGAGAAGTTTCAAACGAGCTCCTGGTCCCCCACAGATTTAAAATATAATTTGAGTAATAATGCAAAGTAACATACAATGGATAACTATGATGCATAATGTACTACAATAGTGAAGAGAAAGAAAAATTTCTGGGAACGTCTGCAATGTAGCCAGTGGCAGGTGGGACATTTTGATAAGTCAGAACTTTTAATCACTATGGTAGGGGCCTTATGAAGCTGAAATTTCATTTCAAAGGTGTCACCAGGAAAAATAAGTGTATGTTTTTAAATAAAATGAAATCTAATGCATAAAAATGAGGCATAATAGATGGTCTTAAAGGTGGAGAACCTGAAAGACATTTATCTTATCCAGTATAAGAAAATGAAAACAATGACTTGAAGTTTCACAGCTTTTGTATTTGAAGGTAACCTTGGGAGAAATGAGTAGACCTAGAATTATTTTACTGTTAGACACATCAAGCTGACAGCATATTATAGTTTAAATGGCAACTGCAAAGTTCAAAACGACTTTTGTTTTATATAGAAAGTACATGAGGTTAAGGTCTAAACTAATGCATTCGTCATTTCTATTTGCCTGTGTCAAAATCCACTGACTGTTTTTGTGGCGGGTCATACAGAGCAGAGATGAGTGGCGTGGAAAACAATGGGCTCCCCTTCAAGACACTTGTTAGTATTAGGGACTTCAGGTAAACCAAGAAAGAAAAAAATGCAATTACTCGGAATTTACAAAATACAGCAAAATTATAATGCCTAAAATAATTATGTATTTTATAGCAGTTATGATCCCAAAATGCTTAGTTGTTTTCAAGCATATGTGGAGAAACAAAGCTCCTATCTCTTCAGAAAGTCCTCTGCTCTGCCCTCCCTGTACATTAAAAATACATTTAAAGCAGAAGGTGAGCAGAGTTATTAACTGTATTAAAGCTGAAGTACTTAGCCAAATAATTTCCACTCTCTTCAGACTGTCTGAGTTCCCTTTTGGAAACAGATGAATAATCATTTTATATATATTTTCTTCAAGAAAATCAGAAGACTTAGATGTTAGGAAATCCCACACCTGGGTAAAGTTCTCCCTTGTTTTTCTTTCTTTTTTTTTTTTTTTTTTTTGAGACAAAGTCTGACTCTCACCCAGGCTGGAGTACAGTGGTGCCATTTCAGCTCACTGCAACCTCCACCTCCCGGGTTCAAGTAATTTCCCCTACCTCAGCCTCCCAAGTAGCTGGGATTATAGGCACCTGCCACCATGCCCGGCTAATTTTTGTATTTTTAGTAGAGACAGGGTTTCACCATGTTGGCAAGGCTGGTCTTGAATTCCTAACCTCAGGTGATTCTCCTGCCTCAGCCTCCCAAAGTGCTGGGATTACAGGCATGAGCCACTGTGCCTAGTTTCTACCTTGTTTTTCATTGAATTTTGAGTCGGGTCATGAAACAGCACAGTGGCAGGAAAGCCCATACAATGTGTACCTCTCCAGCTATGGCCTAAACAACAAGCTTAAATGTTTAAGGCCAAAGGTCCATTCAAGGAGAGATGCAAGATGACTACATTGAGCCCTCAGAACATCTCAGACTTGCACAGCATGGAAGGGTGGTCACCATGGGCTGAGAGAGGCTGCAAGAGTCCACATGGCTGGTAAATCAGGTGCAAATTTAAGCACAGATTACTCAGTACACATTAATAACACAATGAAGGTTCACTTTCATCATTCAGGTCTTACCTCTTCAGACACCTTCCTTCATCTTTCTAATTCAGCAATTTCCCTTCCTTAACTGGTCACTCTCATGCACTCTACCATGATTTACATTATTTTACACAGTGCTCCAGGGTACCTGTTTGTGTATCAAGCTTTTCTGTATTTTCTATTATATCTTAAAATAGATAGATGATCACATGGTATGAACATTTTACAGGCTCCTGAAACATGCTTGTAGATTGATTTTTTTTTTTTTTTTTTTTTGAGACAGTCTGTCACCCAGCCTGGAGTGCAGCGGCATGATCTCAGCTCACTGCAACCTCTGTCTCTGGGGTTCAATCGATTCTCTTGCCTCAGCCTCTAGAGTAGCTGGGATTATAGGCATGCACTACCACACCTGGCTAATTTTTGTTATTTTTAGTAGAGTTGAGTTTCTCCATGTTGCCTGGGCTGATCTCAAACTCCTGACTTCAAATGATCCCCCCAACTGTGCCCCCACCTTGACCTCCCCAAGTGCTGGGATTACAGGCGTGAATCACTGTGCCCAATTGTAGACTGATTTTTTGAAAGCTTGCAGAAACTGCAGTCTTAATCATAAACACTTCTAACCTGCTGCATCCTCACCAGCAATGAATATTTTCATTAAATATTTTAAATCTATTTTTGATAGGGGAAATGGTAGCCTGTTGTTGTAATTGCATTTCTTTGCTTAAATATTTCCTTAACAGGATAGATTTTGAGGAAAATAAAGTAGATACATGCTTAGCATATACTACATACTTAATGTCTGTCGGCTATTATTAGGAGTATTATTGTTTTGAAACCAGATAATAAGAAACATGATATTTTTTGGACTCAGAGGCTTTCTTACAGCAACAGTTGCTGTGATGTTGCTGAAGATTTGTGAAGCTAGCAATCGGACACTTAAATGAAAGGAAAGGCTCTAGGACTTTCTTGAAAACATCGTTGGTGTCAGGTTGATGTTTGCTTCCTGGTCTCTTTCCCATTTGCTTCTTTGTGTCCTTTTGTTTGTGTGACTACATTTCACAGGAATTCATTCATGAAACTAGCGTTTGAGTGACTTTCCTGAAGAAATCATTCTCTTGAGTGTTGATCTCAGTGGGCTGGCTTGGCAGGAGCAGTCACAATATCAGCTGTGGTTTCTGCTGTCCTCGCCCACGAGTCTAGACCCCTTCCTTGTCAGCTTGCTCACACTGCTTCTATTGCTCTTGCATTGCCTCTTTGTGGCATATGAAGTAAGACTTCTCTCGCCTTTCAATAATATGAGAAATGTCATTTTGAAGAAAAATGTATGCCCCAAGCTCGCAAATTTTTCCTTGTATCATCATGATGACGATATTGTCATAATATAATCTTATCAGAAGGTTCTTGAGATATGACAAGCTATAGTTTTCAAGTGTGTCTTAAAATTCGACTTTTAACAAAATTTTAGAACACTGTAAAAAGTCAGATCTCTAATAATAAAAAATACAGTTGGAAGACCTAGGTGAGGTTGCATTAGTTGGGAAGATGGACTAGAATAATGGTGAACTATTTCAATTCTTTGTTTCCTTAGCTGAAGTTCTGAAATTATCCAGGTCTGGAATAATTTAAAATACAGAATAACCTATAGCTCTAGTTCGCAAATAATTTTAGCTCACATAAATGATACTTATTGCCCTTCCATGTACTACCTAAATCTTTAAGAATCAATAATGAATGATTTTATTTGTTTATAGTCTTATCACCTACATTAGTACACACCAGACCAATCAATCTGTACTTACTGTGTGGGCTTTCTTTTTTTTTTTTTTTTTTGAGATGGAGTCTCACTCCGTGGTCCAGGCTGGAGTGCAGTCATATGATTTCTGCTCACTGTAACCTCTGACTCCTGGGTTCAAGTGATCCTCACGGCATAGCCTCCTGAGTAGCTAGGTACAGATGCGTGCCACC